ACAGCACTAGGTTATAGGAACATTTTCACACAATTTGTGATATTTTCTATTATGATTATGCAAGTTAACCCTTTATGGATTATTTTAAAAATTATCATTTAAAACCTTTTGCCTAATGTAATGGAATACACAGAAACTTACATAAAACACTTGCACAGAGTAATGAATCACCGTAAAGGCAAATACCCCAGTGACCAGTGACTGCCAGCTGAGAAATAGAACATTGCCAGCATCCCAGAACTCTCCTACCAACTCCTGTTTATTTTGCTAATCATACCCCTTTTTCTTAATTTTAGGATAAACTATTACTTTGACTTTTTGGAAGCCACTTCCTTTTCTTTATACTTTTATCACCTAAGGGTCTATCCGTAAACAATATATGTTAGTTTAAACATGTCTGTTTTTGAACTTTACATAAATGAAATCCTACCCTCTGTATTTTGGAGTCCTGCTTCTATCAGAATTGTTTTTAAGAAAAAAAATTTACAATGCTCTTTATTGTAATTTCCATATAGCAGATCGATTCTTTCAGAATGTGCTCATTGATTTTTACCACCTATATCATAGCCAACCTATGGCTGCAATTGATGAATGAGTGTAGTTCCAACATGAATATTGGTTAATATTTTCTTTTACATTAATAAGTAAGCAAAACAATGAAGACATGTCAGAATTTACTCGTTCATCCGTAATGTGGGCAACTTCTTTGCTGACTCAGTTAACAGTTTTTAAATACTGGAAGAATATTTTCTCAATATTTTGTGCTGTTCACAATGTAATGGCTACAGCTATATCTTGATTTTGATTAATCTGGATTATTAATACTTTATAACCTTTAAAATTCTCTAGAAAACCAACAAAACAATAAATCAAGCCCTAATTTGTAATGTTTGTCAATTTCCATGGTGTAAATACCTCCACTATGGTTCATTTCCATGTACCGACATGATGCCACCAAACACGGGGTCAGGAAGAGATGCACCATAGCCACCATATACAGTATTTCTCACTTATGGATACAAGAGACAAATAATCTCAAGCATAGATAATAGTAAAATGCAGTAAAATAGGAAGTAATGAAGCTTGAATAATTATTACCTTCATTTTTCATTTTGTTTTCTTTCATTTCATTGTATATATAATTTAATTTTTAAGAATGTGTTTAACACCCAGCTTGAAAAATGCCTGATAATTGAACAAGCAGCTCTTGCAAGCGTAGTGTTAGCTCCAGCTAGGATGAAGTATGCCACTTCCACACCTGGCCTCAAAGATCTGCAGCATAACCCTTCACAGACTCTCTTCATTGATTGGCCAGCCCGATGCAGAGGATCTGGTGGACACCAAGAATGCCCTAGGAGACAACAGAGCCTGGTTCCCTGAGTCATCAGGGAGATGCCCAGAAGTGCCATCCTACTAAAAACATCTACCTTAAACTTTATGTGGGCAAGAAATAAACTTTTGTTGTGTCCAAAAAAAAAAAAAAAAAAAAAAAAAATCAAATATAATGACATAGAAAGGTTGAAAGTAAAAGGATGGCAAAATTATACCATGAGAACACTAATCAAAATAAATCTGATTTATCTATACTATATAAGACAAAAATAGACTTTCAGGCAAGCAGCATTACCAGAGATAAAGAAGGATACTTTGTATGAATAAAGGAGTCTTTCTCCCAGGAAGATATTACAATTTCAAAGCAGAAGTAGATGGAACTTTGAGAAATAAATAAATCTGCAGTCATAGTGAAAGACTTTAACACACCTCTCAGCAGCTGATAGACTACACAGACGAAAAATCACTAAGGATGGAAGATATGAATACAATAAACCAACTAGACATAACTGACATCTATACAGAATACTGTATCTAACAATATCACAATACACATTCTTTTAAAGTGCACATGGAACATTTACCAAACTTGATAATAAGCTCAATCTTAAAACAAGCTTCAGTAAATTTTGAAGGATTGAAATTATTTAGAGTTTGCTCTTCCATCAGGGGAATCAATAAAAAAAAGACAGTTAGACAATCTCCTGTCATATTTGCCAGGAGAAACCACAAGCCTGGTTATATCCAACCTCCTCCATTCAGTGAGCCTGCACTGGGGCAGCCGAGTATTGCTGGAAAAAGAGACACACTCTGCCGACTGGCCTCACTTTAAATTTACATCCACAGTCCTAAAGTGGGTCCTCACTATTGCTTAGCAACCCTGTCACATTTGCCTGGTCAATTCAATCTCTGGTTCAACTTTCACCTCTCTCCTCAAACCTCCAGCCTTCACAATAGCCTTCCTTCTTATTTTACTGAGAAAATAAAAGCAAGCAGAAAAGAAGTTCATCTAACCATTTATTGTATCACCTATTTGCACCTGTGCCTGAATACTTTCCATTTTCTCCTGTTATAATGAAAAAAAAAGTGATTTTATGTAAGGCTAGCGTCCCCTTGGATTCCAGCCACGGACTCTCGCGTACTTTGGTGATGCAGAAGACAAAGAGAGGAGCTGTGGGAGCAGTAATTCCTATCAGCGTACAAATGCTGTAATGTCACCTGTTCTAAAAAGTTCTTTTGGCATTCCCTTCCAGATATCTCTTTATTCGTCTACTTTTACTCACCTTTACAGCAACATCCTTGTCTATGGTTGTTTATATTCACCATCTCCACATCCTCACCTACTAGTCTAACTTGAATCCACGCCAGCAGGCTTGTGTCCCACCATTATCATCTACCTGTTCCTGCCCAGGTGATCCGGAACTCTGTGGTACCATATCCAGCAGTCAGTTCTCAGTCTTCGTAACGTACAGATGCTCTCAGCAGCATGTGACACCAGTGACCACTAACTCTCTCTCGAAACACTCTCTTCTCTTGGCTTCTGGAATACCAGCTGCTTCTGATTTTCTTCCTGTCTTCCCGGACATTCCTTGGTCCCCTTTGCTGGCTTCTCTCCTTACTGATCTATAAATGTTGGAGTGTTTTAGGCCTCCAACTTTGACCTCTTCTCCATTTATACTAACCTTGGTGGTTTCATTCAGTTCTCTGGATTTAATATAGTTCTCATGGTGATGATACCCAAATTAATATCTCTTGCCTAGGACTCTAAACCTGTTTATCAAACTGCTTACTTAACGTCTCTACTTACACATCTAATAGCATTTCAGACTTAATTGCTGCCTCCTCTATCTGCTCTATGACTTGCCCAAAGTCTCTTCTAGCATAGTGTATTAGTTTCATGTTGCTGCAATAACAAATTAGAACGGATTTGGTGGCTTAAAAAAACACAAATATATCCTCTTACAGTTCTAAGGATGAGAAAGCCAAAATCAATTTCACTGGGCTGAAACCAATTATATTGGCAGGGCCACGTTCCTTCTAGAGGTTCTAGGAGAGAATGTTTCCTTGCTTTCCCAGCTGCCAGGGCTGCATTCCTTGCATGCCTTGGCTCCTGGCCCCTCCCTCCAGTCTTCAAAGCCAGCAGCATAGCATCCTGCTTCAGTCCTCACATTGCCTCCTTCATCTGTGTAGTCAAATTTCTCTTTGCCTCCCACTTATAAGGATACCCGTGATTGTATTTAGGGCCCACCCAGATAAGCCAGGATCATTTCCCCTTTTAAAAAATCCTGAATTTAAGGGCCAGCCCATGGCTCACGTGGGAGAGTGTAGTGTGGATAACACCAAGGCCGTGGGTTCGGATCCCCATATAGGGATGGCCGGTTCGCTCACTTGGGAGAGTGTGGTGCTGACAACACCAAGTCAAGGATTAAGATCCCCTTACTGATCATCTTTAAAAAAAAAAAAAATCCTGAATTTAATCATGGCTGCAAAGTCTCTTTTGCCATACGAGGTGACATTCACAGGTTCCCTTTTGCCATATAAGGTGACATTCCAGGGATTAGGATGTGAATATTTTGGGAGCTATTATCAGCCTATTACACATTATATATAACATCACCATTCTACAGTTGCTTAAGTTAAAAAACAAACAACTTGATTCCTTTTTCTCTCAAACCTCACATTCAATCTGTCAATCTCTGAGGCTCCATCTTTAACATATATCAACACTCTCACGATTTCTTACCACCTCCACTGCTGTCGTCAACTCTCGCCTGCATAACGTCACACCACATCTCTGGTCTACCTTACTGTCTGTTCTTAACACAGTAGCCAGGGTGACTCTTTGAAAATGTCAATCAGATTGTGTCACTCCCTTGATCAAAACCCTTCAGTGGGGCCGGCCCGTGGCTCACTCGGGAGAGTGTGGTGCTGATAACACCAAGGCCCCGGGTTCGGATCCCATATAGGGATGGCCGGTTAGCTCACTGGGTGAGCGTGGTGCTGACAACACCAAGTCAAGGGTTAAGATCCGCTTACCAGTCCTCTTTTAAAAAAAAAAAAAATACCCTTCAGTGGCTTTCCCACTGAAGTTTCCTTACTTTGAATTTTATTCTAGGTCCCCACTGGCCACCGAGGCCCTGCGTGAGCTAGCCTTTGTTTACCCCTGACTTCATTCCATCCCACTCTTCCCCTGCTCCAGAGTCTGGGTCTCGCTTGGCTTTTAGATCTCAGATTCTCTTCACCTCCAGGGACAGGGCCCATTTAAAATAGGCTTATAGTTCTTCTGTCACATGTAACCTGATTTTTCACAGCCTTTACTATTTACAGCTCCCTAAAATTCTGATTTATGTATGGTCTGTCTCCTCAACTAGAACATAAGTTCTAGGGACTTCAGTGTCTATTCACCTGTTCCCACACACCTAGAACAGTGCTTGGCACACAGTAGACCATAAATATGCAATGAGTAAATGGCTGTTCCCACACACCTAGAACAGTGCTTGGCACACAGTAGACCATAAATATGCAATGAGTAACTACACATGAACCTTTTCTTTTCCCTCCAGTCTGACTACCTCTCACAGGAGCTGGGGAGTGTGCAGAAAGCATAGAGTATGTGCAGGCTGCGCCCCAGAATGTGAAATCTTCCTCACTCCTTTAAAGAGGTGTACCTGTAGGACTTTCTGGGCTTGAACGTCGACCACAAGGAGTCTGCTCAGTGCTGGCTGGGCCACGTAGATGTACCGGTTCCTGACGTTGACTGCGGATGCCCACTGGCATGGCTGAGTGGCATCTCCTCCCCCTTGAGGACAGATTTCTTCCTATAAAAGAGACAGGTGCCATAGATCTCCTTAATCCTCTTTCCTCCCAACATCTCTGGATTCCCTCTCCCAGACCCTCCTGTGTCCCTTTCCTCCCTCTCTCAGAATTCTTGGGATCCACAGAATGTGGCACACAAACCCTCCCACATCACCAACTGCCCCCTGAGGATATAACACCGTTTGCGTCCTCTTGGTCAGCAGCTTCCAGGTCCAGTCTTCCACTCTTCTGTGCGACCTCCTCCTCTCCTCGTCCCTGCCATGTGACCAGCTTCTGAGAGAGCTGCCTGCACTGTTCCTCCATTTCCTCACGTCTTGCACACTCCTTAACCCTCTGGCCTTAGTCCTCACCACACAGCTGACACGGTTCCCTCCAAGGTCCATATGAAATTAAACCTCCGTCATCATTTTATTTGAACCTGGGCCATCATCTGACGGTGTTTACTATTTCTTGGTTCCCCTCCCTCCATCCTGCCTCAGTGGCTGATCCCTCTTTATTGGTGGATTCTGCTCAGTTTGCTGATCTCTGTATGTTGGGGAGCCCAGGGTTCACTCCTCGATTTCTTTCCTTCTCTAAAATCCACTCTCTTGTTAATCTCATTGAAACCTATGGTTTTATAAACAGTCCATATGCTTGCAACTCACAAATTTATATCTTTAGCTCGGGACTCTTCCCCCAACCCAGACTTAAATAGCCAGCTGCCTAGCCCTACCTGGATGTTTAATGTGCACGTCAAACTTACATCTCCAAAACCAGCTCTTAATTTTACCTCCCAATCCTGCTCATTCCACTTGAAAACTGGCTGCTCCACTGTTTTACTCCTTTAGACCATAAATGTAGAGGTCATGCTTGACTCCTCTGCTTCTCCCCCTACCCTCAGTCCCCATCCAATGCATCACAAATCATTTCTGCTTTACTTCCAAAATATATCTAGAATTAGATTCTTTCTTACTGCTTCTGCACTTTCACCCTGGCTCAAGCCATGTTACCCGTCACCCATGTAGCTGCCATAGCGTCAAGATCGTGCTCCGTGATTCCACCCCAGCCTTCCCTAACCCATTCTTGACACGGCAATCGCAGGGATCATTGTAAAGTGGAAGTCAGATCATGTGATTCTTTTCTTGCCCCTCCCTGTTGAGAACATTCTTTCTTGCTCAGAGTAAAACCAGAGTCTTTCCCGAAGCCCACAGGCCCTCCACCTTCTGGCCCCTGCTTTTCTCTTACACACCCCACGCCACGCACAAGGCTAGCCGTTCTTCAGTCACGCCGCCTGCACCAGGGCCTTCGCATTGGCTGTTCCTGTTGCCGGAATGCTCTTCCCCAGATATTTATATGGTTTATTCCCTTGTTTCCTTCAGGTCTCTGCTTAGGTGTCATCCTGCTGAGAGGCCTTCTCAGACCGCATCTAGGCTAGCACCCTAGCACTCCTTCCTCTGTCACCTCGCTCCATCTCTCATTTACCACCTTGCACGTTTGTTGGCCTACCTATGCACAGTCTTTCTTCCACCGAGAGGCCTTCTCAGACCGCATCTAGGCTAGCACCCTAGCACTCCTTCCTCTGTCACCTTGCTCCATCTCTCATTTACCACCTTGCACGTTTGTTGGCCTACCTATGCACAGTCTTTCTTCCTTTCCTATGTTGTAAGTTCCCTGAGAGCAGGCTCTTTTGCTCACTGCTACATCCTTAGCACCTAGTACAGTGCCTGGCACAGAGCTGGTGCTTAAAATATGTTTGTTGAATGAGTAAATGAGTGAAAAGGGGGACCTCCATTTCCCTGTCTTCCATAATGCATATTATCATAGTTTTTTCCTCATGACAGAACAACTCTGTTTCAATCTTCTTTGTGGTTCCTCTTAGTCTGCCTGTCCCTGAACTGTTGATGACCTAGGGCTCTGTTCTAGATGCCCATCTAAAATCACTTGCACACCCCCTGTCTGTCCCCTTGGCTTTAGCCAACGCTCATATGCTGATGGCGCCCAGATCTATGTCTTTAGGTCAGAACCTTCTCCAGCTCCTCCTTGGTTCTCTCACGGCTGCATCATGCTCAGCCATCCACACCTGAACTGCTCTTCTCCTCCACACCTGCTCCTCCTTCTGGGTCCCCATCACCATCCAGTCAGCTAGGTCCAGAGCATGAACACCACCTTTGAGTCTTCCTTCTCCCATCCAGCTCACCACTAATAAGTCACCAAGGGTTCCCGAACCTACTTAAATCTCTGAATTAATCTACTTTCCATCTCTACCCCTGTTGCTCTCCCAGATGACTACAATAGCTCTGAAACTTGTCTCTCTCCTTCTACCCTTGCCCCTCTCTGTTATCATATTTAATCCTCACAATACCCCCATTTTCATATGAGAAAACTGAGGCTTCGAGGGGTCAAGTAACTTTTCTAAAGCCACTTAGCCTACTGAGTGACAGAGGTGGGGTTTGAACCCAGGTCTGCAGACACCGAAGCCTGTGCCCTGATCTACTGCATCACACTGCTTCCTGCTGGACCCTGTGGACGTCCAGTCCAGCACAGAGGCCCGAGAGAAGACACACTGACCTCCTACCCATTGTAACTTCCTGTGAGGTGTCTGGGCATTTTCTAGATGCAAAAACTTATGTGGGGTTGTTCCACAGCTCACCCTGGTCTTGTGTTGCCTGACACACTTTCAGGACTCTCTCACTGTGTCTTGTTCCAGCTTCTTATCCAGGAAAATTGAGTCCTGGTTAGTATTTGAGAGATTTCCTCCAAGCTACAGGTTAGGTTATTGTAAATATATGAGAAATTAGCGCTAATATGATGGAGTGCAGTTATTTAAACCCAATTGCTAGAAATTAACTAGGACCACTTTTTCTAATTGGTTTCATGGTTGTTACACGGAAGGAAAATTCATTGGAGGTAACACTTCTAAAAAATAATTAATTCAAATGAAATATCCTGGAAAACAGCTGTTCCCAAGTGACAAATGTGAGAAATGCAACAGCCTGAGATACACCAAAAGCCAGAACAGCAGTGCAGCAGACTCGTTTGAGGGACTTGCGTGGCCAAGCCCACTTCCTCCATGGCTGCAAGCTCATCACTACTCGCCGGTTCATTTATTGTGCATGATTGAGGACACACCATGCGTATCTTCAAGGGGAGGCCATCTGGGGATTTTAGATGACCCTTTTGGATTCAATGCCATTGTCCTATCCTCAAGAAGCTTAGGGTATCCCACAAGGCCTCATGAGACATACACCAGAGGGACAGAGGCCTACTGTGGGAGGCACAGCCCTGAGGGAGGCCTCGTGACAGTGGGTCTGGAGGGGCTCTCCTGGGTCTGCCGCCTCAGCATGTTACAATGTCACTGTCTACCTGGCCTCACACTTTGTTCACAGCACCTCTGACACTCTGGGCACTTACATGTTTTCATGCTGTCTCCCCTGGTTCCCTCAGCATTCGGCCCCCAGGCAGGGTCACATGCAAGACTGAGCACACAACAGCCAGCAGTTTTGAACCCCTGTTTGGAACCCCTGTTGAGGGGTTCCCTCAACAGCCACTGAGGGAACCCCTGTTTGGCAGGTGTCTGTTCACATGGCTGTCTCCATCATTCGACTGTGAACTTCTGGAGGCCAGGACCATCTGTAGCCCCCGGCCTCACCTAGGGCTCGGTGTATAGAAGTGGCTGCCGGATGGAGGAATGAGAGTTTAACTCTCAGCCTATGTTCCTCCCTTAGCCTTGGAACCACACCTATTTAGCAAATGGAATTTAAGAAATCAAAGGGCACACCAGGTTGAAGACTGACTTTTAGGATTTTGTCTGTGTGATGTAGAAGCTGCCCCAGGCACAGAAACTTACATAGCTCATGAAAATCTTCTCAGTGGGTTTGAGATGCCGCTGGATCTCACAGTCCACGGGGTGAATGACGATGATGCCATTGTCGGAGAAGACGTAGAACATGTTTCCCACACTGAGGCCTGACAGGAGCAAACATGGATAGGTCACACCCTCCCTGCAGTCGGCCCCCAGGCAGGGTCACATGCAACACTGAGCACACAACAGCCAGCAGTTTGGATGCATCTGGTGCAGGCACAAAATGCAAATCCTGGGTGAGAAGGTGAGCAGCCAGCTCAAAGCCCTCTGCTTGATGGTTGGAGAAAATGCCCCAAGGCCTGTGAATCAATAATGTACATCTTGGGCTCTGCAGTCCCCAGGCTGTCCTCCCAAACACACAGCTGCCTGAAGTCATCTAGGTTGGCCACCCACACATTTTCAAATAAAAGACAGTCTTGGCTTTGACATACATTTCACCTTTCCTGTTCTAAAAGGAAAAACGTCCCTTGGTTGTTCACTGTTGATTATATATCTTCAGCTCAGGACTCTTCTCTGAGAGGCAAATCAGAATGGATCAGATGATGCCAAAAAAAAAAGGCTTTTATTTTTTAAACACATTTATGTACAGCATCACTCCTTGGAATGAGGGGTCCTAAGAATGCTGTGACTGGTCCTCCTTTGCCCAAACTTAGTCCTGGCCTGTCTGCATGCCATTCCCTCCTTCCAGAGAGCTTGCTTCCCTTTCTGCCCCACTAGTTACTCTGTGGCAGCCCATGCCAGGCAACAGAGCCCACACCCAGATCATGCCCACCTGGAGGAAGACCTACTTAGGCACTCAGAGAAAGGGGTGGCTCGTTTAGCCTCCTTGTTTTAAAGACAGGGAAACTGAGGTCCAAGGATGGGAAGGGGCTTGGCTGGGGCTACCTGTTTTTGTGCCAGAGCTGGGTTAGACCCTGAGCCCTGCCTCCTGGCCTCCGTGCCTCACTCCATCACTCCATGAAAGGGAAACATAGCACAAAAGTAGTTCCCCTCCCTCTGCTTCTCCCTTCTCCCCCTCCTTCTTTCTTTCTCTCTCCCCTCTCCTTCCTTCTTTTCATTTCTTTTAAAGCTAGAACATTAAGATTTCTATAAATTATAAGAAAATTAAATATACTGAAAACTCTCTCTCCTAGAATGCTGAGAAAACTGTCATACTGGTTTAATGGACTATCTGGGTAAGTTTTTAGTGAGTTAGAAAATGATAAAACAGGGAAATAGGAATCACCATTTCACTTCCTTCCAATGACTCTGCAGGCAGTTTTCTGGGCCTTGGGCTGTTGGCCCGTGGGAGGCATTAGTACCAGTGGCCCCTGGTATGAAGGAGGTCCTGCCTCTGTAACATAACCTCCACTGCCTCCAGCGCTGTGCCGACAGGGGCTCCAGGCAGGGGGCTTCTGCCACTGCAGGAGCAGCTGGCACCCAACCTCTCAGAAGCTGCTGACGCCTCTGAGTAGCCAGTGTAGCTCCCACAGCTCCCGATGGGGTGAGGGGCAGCCTGTCCCTTGAGAGCCAGATGAAGCTCGCCACTTGCTGTGTCAGCTCCACGGCATCTGGGTGTCTGGAGCTAGTACCATATGAAATATGGTAAATATCTAAAGATTTACTTGATAAAGTGTATTTTAAAAAATCTATACATTTAAAAACATACATTTACAGAAATCATAGTAGCCTTCTTTCTTCAACATTTCCTCAATCAAAGCATACCTAAGTTACAGCTGCTATCCAATAGAGATCTACATCTTTTTCTGGGTCTTTTTAAAACAGCACAAGATAAGCAAAGCGCTAAACCTAACACCAATATCAGCTAGTGGAAAAGAGTACAAAGCCCAGATCTGACTGTGAATGCTTGCCAAGTGGTCTGCTTCAGCGGAGGCTACAAGTGGCTCTAAATGGAAACTTTGCATTTTTAAGTTTGCCATTAAAGACACTAATAGATTTTTAATTTGATTCAGTGTGTGTTGCACTTGAGTTTGACATTGACCTCCCCCTTCCCATCCATTTTGGCATGTGGGCCCTGCTTGTAGGGACTGCTTGGTGTCTGCAAAAGCTGATGGCATCTCATGGAAAGATGGCCCACATGGACCACAAACACACGTGACAACAGGCATGACACAATAATGAAGCTTGGTACCTTCCTCTCGCCACAGAATGTTTGCAACTGCAGCAGTTGAGAATTAAGAGAGCAGTAAGGTGATTGAAGGAGGGAAAAAAGAGAGAAGCAATGTTAGATCTTCACTGTAGCGACTTTATTTGTGAACATACTGGCCCCTAGTCCATTTGATAGAATCTGCACCACTCACTGATCCAGCAGAGTACCTGGGGGGACCTCTGGACATGAGCAAATACTTCCAAGTCTCAGGACCCCATTTGTGAACATACTGGCCCCTAGTCCATTTGATAGAATCTGCACCACTCACTTATCCAGCAGAGTACCTGGGGGGACCTCTGGACATGAGCAAATACTTCCAAGTCTCAGGACCCTATTGATTTCTAAATGAATTCTTGAAATCAGGTCCCAGGATCACAGAAGCTAATGGGGTTCCCCACATTCTGTCGATGATAAAGAGTGAACATCATCTCTCCCAGATTTCCTGGATAACTTCCAGGAGATCTGATTTTCAAGTAGGATTCTCTTAGGAAGATCATGTGAAATACTTCTGACTGTCTCCTCTGGTGATGAAAACTTAGCTTGGAGTATTTGGTTGTGATCAACACCCATGGCCATGAAGTCACACCTGCAGGCCCCTTGGGGAGCAGTGGCTATGGGGAGAGCACACTTAGCACACCAGGTGGGTTGTGATCCCTGGAGTAAAGGCCACTGCACTCCCAATGGTGTGCATGTATGCACAGGCCAGTTCCTGGGCCACTGTGGGATGGCAGTACCAGGTGCCTACTATAGAGGATTTTGGGGATGGTGGGCAGGGGTTCCAGGCACACAGCAAGTAGGCTGCAGAACTGGGGCTGGGATATTTGTGCTTCCTTGTGCTCCTGAGTTCTGTCTGCTGTCCAGAGTTTCCCTGTCTGTTTCCAGGGAAGGTCTGCTCACCTCTGGCACTCTCTGATCCCAGCTTTATGCACAGAAGGTTTACCCTGTCTTCTGGGGCTCATGACAGGTGGCTGTGGCCCTGGTCAACTGGTGCCCTCCCTTGCCACTCAACACCCCCCAACCAGCTCAGAAAGGAGCTTAAAGCCAAGACTGGACTCACGGGTCTTTCTAGCTGAGTCTTCAATGAAGAGCGAGGAGATGTCTTCATCCACGCCCACTTCATTTTTGGCAATGCAGGTGTACGCCCCTGTATCTTCATACCGAACACTGCTGATGCGGAGTTCACTCCCATTGGCTGCAGAAAAGACAGTGCTCGGAGTGGCCTGCTTAGCTGGAAATGTCCCCTCATTTTCTCCCTAGTCCCTTCCTGGGGCTATTGAGAGTGTTGGGGTTAAAAACACAGCCCTTGAGCAGGGCTGAGGAAGCCCAAATCCCTGATAATACGCCTAGGAAGGGTTGGCAGCTGAAATTAACTGAGTGTGATCTGAACCCACATGACAGTTTCTTATTATTACTCTCAGAAAGTCTGCAAGACCAGTGTGCACCCAAGTGTCAGAAAATTTGGTGAGACATCTGTTCACTCCTAGGTGAATTACACCTCTCATTTCCATTTCTGGGGTGAGTTTCAGCTTGAACCGGATGGGAATATCACATAGACACAGGGCAGTTCTTACCCAAAAGGGAGAGCTGTTTAGACATCTGGGTTGAGACATCCATGCCGTTTTTCAGCCAAGTGATTCGGGGCATGGGAATGCCCTCTGCGTGGCACCTCAGGCTGGCCGCCACCCCAGGCTCCTGTGCCTGGGTCTCCGGATGGACGCGGATGACTGGTGGCACTGTGGGCAAGAGTCAGGGCTGGTAAGAGAAGGCCCAACTCTGAGACCCTGCTCCAGAGGGGTGAACCCCAGAGATGATTCTGGAGTCCTCTTCTCAACTGGCTTACCATCCTGTTCAGCAACTGAAGCTCTAAAAGAAAGGGCTGTAAACCCTGTAACTCAGGGCTGTCATCGTTATTCTAAATATGATCAGAAGGACATCCAAATTTTAATGTGTTCAGCTGCTACATGGGAAGAGCAACAGCCACCGAAACTTATTTCTGAATGAATAAAATGCAGATATATTGTTTCTGTTATCACAAAGCCATTGCATAGGGACTTACTTTCTTGCAGGAAATGCTTCACAAAGCACTTATGGGCTCTGACTGGCAGAACTACTAATTACATCACTGTTCTGGAGAAGTCCATTGGTTTTCCAGTGGGTCACTTTTATTTCTCCACTTCCCAACTCCTGGGACATGGAGGAAAGGCCAGGGGTGCCCTCCTTGGCTCTGGAGTGACTCAGCTATGGGTCCTGGAAATCAAGTACGGGCTGGGGTGTAACCCGGCCCGCTCGCCAGATGAGCATGGCTGGGCAAGGCTCTGGCCCCCTCTGCAGAGCTCTGGCCCTTCTTACACAGGCTGGCTGGGGGAGGTACATGGAAGAAGAAAAGACTGCCTAGAAGATCTTCCCTCCTACCTCTAGCTCTGGGCCCAGAAAGTAAAATAAACAGCACTTTCAATGAAATTAAGGGCTCTTACTTATCAATACATTTTACTCAACAGATGCTCCTTGACTTACGATAGGATAATGTTCCTCCCAATAAACCTATCATAAGTTGAAAATACAGTTTAAGTCGAAAATGCATTTAATACACCTAACCTACCAAACATCATAGCTTAGCCTAGCCTACCTTAGAGGTGCTCAGAACACTTACATTAGCCTACAATTAGGCAAAATCATTTAACACAAAGCCTATTTTATAATAAAATGTTGACTATCTCAGTAATTGATTGAGTACTGTACTGAAAGTGAAAAACAGAATGGCTTGCTGCCACTGCTCAGCATCACAAGAAGAGTATTGTCCTGCATATCATTAGCCTGGGGAAAGATCAAAATGCAAAATTTGAACCACTTTCAAACCATTGTACAGTCAGGGACCATCTGTATATACTTCAGAAAAAGTTTTACAGAAGCTTACTGTAAACATACTAAACTAAACCAAACAACAATATCATACATTTTTGGAAAGGGGCAGATGGACCCTTCCTGAAGTGGAGAACTACATTTTCCTAAAGTTATCTGGAAGCTTTTATTGTCTAATAAAAGAATGCAGCCGGTACTTTAGAAGAGAGATGATTTTCCTTGTGACCAGAGTGTAGAACACATTATATACACCCTTACATAGAAGGAGGCAAGGGTGTCGACCCCAGGACCTGAGCAAGGTGGGAGAATCCTAGTGATCTGTGTGTGGGTGGGCAGAGGACAAAAGAAGAACTCCATTGCTTCATTGTGAGAAATGGGCTCTGAAACTGTCAGAATTCCTCAGGGTGCTGCTAACAATTTGATCAACTTAGTCTGACTTTCAAGTCTTTCCTTGGTTGACTCTGGTGCAACCAGGAAGGGATGTGATCCCACCCCTCTGCTGGGCCAGAGCTGTTTTGATAGCATGAGCTCGGAGCACCCTATGCCAAACTGTAGAGACCCATGAACAATAAAATTGGAGTCATTTCTTCAGTTTCTCTTTGCTGGAAGTTCTGGGGGAGAGTCCTACGGTGTGGCAGAAAGGCTTCATGACAGATCAGGCCACTGGGGGTGCAGGAGTAAATGGGCCCTGGCTGAGACACACAGAGGACCTTTTAGAACATAAATGCATATCTCTCCTCTGACCCCCCTTTGTTCAAAGAGGAAAGAAAGAAACTTCCCAACACCCTGCCTTTGGTAGAGGGAGGAATGGAGTTCAAGTTGAATAGATAGTCGAATAGAATTTCGGTCAGGAGGTTATAATTCAAGAGCACAGAGGTAGAGTGTGGGGGCCCAGAAGCACGGGGCTGGAAGGCAGCTGGAGAAGATGGTGGAGCAACCAGAGTTCTGGAAAGGGTAGCCAGGACCTGGCGGTTAATAAACTTGGCCTCTTGCTAGACACCCATCTATTTATACAAGCCTGCCTGGCAACCACAAAGTAAACCTGAAGAAAGTGGGAGAAGAAGGAATAGAGACAGAAGCAGAAATAAATGAATCAACCAGAAAGCCGAAAAATAATAGAACTGATAAATAAATCTAAGAGCTGGCTGTTTGTAAAAACCAGTAAAATAGCCACATCTCTGGCAAGTTTGATCAATGAAAAAAATAGAGAAAGAACACATAGAGGAAAAACATGAGAGAACACTATATTCAATTATGGGTAATAAATATGAAAATCTCAGTGAAATGGATCATTTAAAAGGAAACTTGAAAGTACCAACATTGAATTAAGAAGAGAATATTTGGACTTGCAGAGGGAGAGAACATACCTAGGGTCGCTGGCGGTAGAGGGGGAGCAGGAGGGAGGTTGGGGAGAGGTTGGGTGGGGGACACGGGGAATAATTGCAATTTGTGGTAATGATCATGCTGATTGTATTGGTCTCATCATCACATCTTGGGTACAGGTGGTGATGGTCAGCTTTGTACTCATGAATATGCATAATCAATAAAATAAAAAATAAAAATTTTAAAGTGCTACTAACCCCAAAACACACTGATTAGTTTTATAAGAGAGTCCCTTTGCACATTTAAGAAATGGGTAATTCTTAGAGCATAGAACAGGGAAGATGTTCCAAATTACATCATGAAGTTAGCATATCCTGCACACCAAAACCTGAACAGAGAACAAAAGAGACGACTACAAACCTATATCATTTAGAGCTAGATATACCAAAATCCCAAGTAAAACATTCCCAAATCAAATCTAGAATGGTATAAAAAGAACATACTGTGACCAAATATAATATGTTTCGATGGCTAACTATTGGGAAATCTGTAATTAATCATACCCAAAGTCAAAGACAGTCAAAAAGAAAAACCATTTGATTCTCTTGCTAGAAACCGAAAGGGACCTTGAAAAAAATCCAAAATCAATTTCTTGGGGGAAAAACCTCAATAAAATAGGAACAGAATTATATTTTCTTCCTACAGTGAAGAATATCTCTATAAAAATAGGAAATAGCACCATTCCTTTTAAAGTGGTGAAGCACTAAATCAGGAAAAAAAGAAAAAGGAAAAAGGAAAGGAGGCCATATCAGACTCTCACATCGTGCTGGATGTTCTCAACAGAAGGCAAGAAATGAGAGGTACAAATGTTAAAAAGATGGAGAAAAATGATATGTGAGATATCCTTCAGGTAACAAACCACAAAAGTAAAAAGGATTAATGAGTGAGTATAGTAAAGAGGCAAGTAACAAAATATACAAAATTAATAGCTTACTCACGTACCAGCCATAACCAGACAGAAAATATAATAGGCCTAAATGAAGAAAACTATAAAATCTCACTGTTGACATAAAAAGAGACATGAATAATTGGAGAGAGATGTTCCTGGATAGGAAGACTTACTATTGTTAAGAGACAAGATACTCCAAATTAAGCCATACATTTAATTTAATTCCAATTAAAATCAATTGGCAGGGGCTTGACAAAACAATTCTGAAAATTATTTAGAAGAAAAAAATGAGGAAATTTTGATAAAGAAGGGTTGTAACTGTCACTTTGCTAAACCAGCTATTACAAAGTATTACCATATTAAATGTTGCAAAATGGGGGTGGGGGAGGGCTGAAAGAGGTCCCACTTGAGTCTGGCACCATATCGATGACCTTGATGGATTTTACAAAGCTCTGTCAATTCAATATTGTGCAGCCAACATTTATTAAATGGCAGCCACATGTCAGGCATGGTGGACACAGCAGTGAATAAGATAGCCTCAGTTCCTGCCCTCATGGAGCTTTCTGTCTGGGGAAGGTGATTCAAAAATTACCTGCAAATGTGAGAATTGCTCCCGAGGGAGCTTTGGGGGCATGTGGACAGCAGTCCTGGAAAACTTAACAGAATAGAGAGCAGGCTCCTCTCTTTCCACCTCACACAGGAGTTACTTCCTGGTGCAGTGCCTGTCCTTTTATTGGTGGTGGTCTGGTCCAGTGAACTGGGAACTCAAGGAATGGGCTGATGGTTTGTGGACTGATCTCACTGAGGTCTTCACCAGCGTCCATCACTGGTGTTGAAGAATGGCCTTTGTCTCAGTCCTGACCTCTGATAGGAAGCCTGCGGACCCAAGGAGGGACTTGGTAAAACATGATGCTAGGCCTACCCCCACAGTGTCTGATTCCATAGGTCAGGGATGGGGCTGCAGAATTTGCATCTACCTAACAGGTTCCAGGTGAGGCTCTGTGTCAGTTCTGATTTGGAAGCTCTCTCAGACCAAGTCAGGGCTCAATCTGAACCATAGTATGTGACAATGTTCTAGAACAAAATGAAATGACTGAAAGTCAAGTGTGTGGAATGAATTACTCACTTAAAAACACATGACTTCATGCAAGACCCCTGAGTCTCCATGGGCAGGGGTTAAAAGCCAGCTCACGCACGCTCGGAGTGAGAGGCACCCTCTGCTGGTCTTGAGGTCTCCTTGAGCTGAGGACATCCTGGGGGTAAGACATCTTCTCCTCTGGGCTCCATCTCTCTGTCTGTAGGACTGAAGAGGGGGCCTCAGCCTCTGCTGGCTCCACTGCCAATACCCCTTCGCTCGGAGTGAGAGGCACCCTCTGCTGGTCTTGAGGTCTCCTTGAGCTGAGGACATCCTGGGGGTAAGACATCTTCTCCTCTGGGCTCCATCCCTCTGTCTGTAGGACTGAAGAGGGGGCCTCAGCCTCTGCTGGCTCCACTGCCAATACCCCTTTCTCCCCCGTCTTGCCTCTACTCAGCAGGATCCCCAGGACTCTCTTCCTCATGCTCTTTATCTGATCATGTCAGTTTCCACAGGAAGCTTAGGCC